AATTTTATTTGTTTCTAATTTTTAATTTTTCAACATCTTCAGATACTTTATCAGTTGATGATGAATGATGTGATGATGATGATGATTGCTTATGACCTGGTTTAATACCACGTTTTTCAAGTGCTTTAGCAACAATGTCTCTGCATTCATCAAATTCTTTCTCAACAGCTACATCATATGCGTCTTTTCCTAAATGTATAAATTTTTTAAACTTAATATTCAATGATATTTTGTTTTAAACCTGAACCTTCATTATTTCGAGGTGTAACATCAGCCGAATGTTTAATAAGAGTTGCTAAAATTCTTGGTTTATTAAAAAAACAAGAAACCATTAATGGTGTATTATTTTTTAAATCATGTGAATTAACTTTAGCACCATGTTGTAATAATAATTCAACACATTCTGGACTATCGACAATACCTAAATATGATTTTAATATAGAAAAGAAATAATTGCTTCTTCTAAGACTTACCAGCACTAGCAAAATGAAGTGCTGTACCACCTTGATCATTACGATGATTAACATTTGTTTCTTTATGACTCAGTAAAATTCTAAGAGAAAAAAAAATATTTCGAAATTAATTTTTATAGTTTGAAATTCTTACTGAGCTATTCTTTTTCGATTATGTCGAGCTGCAATACTTAATGGTGTATCACCCATAAATGCAACATTTGGATCAGCACGTGAATCCATTAAAGCTTCAACACATTCAGGTCGATCATGAATAACAGCTCTATTTGAAAAAAAGGAATTATTCATATTTCCAAAAAAAAATTTTCTCATACTTGTGTATAGGTGTCATTGAACTTCGATCTAAATGGTTTACTTGTGCACCATGTTTAACTAATAAACGAATTAATTCAGCTCGATCTTTTTGCTATAGTTAGAAGAAAAAAATAAAATTATACTAATAAGAAATTTTTCTTACTCGTAAACTTTGTCCATGATATTCAGCATCACATAACACATGAATGGGTGTTAAATGATGTTCACTTTCGGTTTGATTTGGATCAGCACCATGCTTTAAACAAATATATATACGTATAGAAAAAAATTTTCTTCATTTTTTTTCTTACTTCAATAAAAAATTTAATAATATCAATATCACCTTCGAAACAAGCAATGATCAATGGTGATACTTGTGCAATAGGTGTACCAGTTTGTTCATGTAAAATTTCACAATTAACACTTGGATCTTAATAAAAAAAAA